TGAAGTGCCCCATGAGTGCTAGAGGATGTTTTTCTATTTGAATTTAAAGGTATTTTTCTATCATTTTTTCTTTCCTTGGAAAGTTTTTGATGTTTTCTCTTCTACGCCTATCACGTAAATCCTACCCCTAATATGTTTTCCAGTGAACTGCCTGTGATTGCACCTATTAATCTATCAGAATTTTCCAGTAACAAGTGGAATTTGACTAAGGTCAAGTAGCCAGCGAGAATAGATACTTTATCACAAATACCACACGCTCCTTGAGGTTTTGGCATTCCTAACAATCTCTTCCTATCTTCTAAGTATGTGTTATCTCCGCAAGTTGAGATACAATTCTGTATGATATGCAGGATCTCTGCCCTTTGGGTAACATCATTTTACCCACTGGTCAAATGATAATCCTCAAGGCCTTTTTGTTATTTTCAAATCCTCCTGTAGACGTTAGTAGTATCAGAAAAACCAGCATCCTTTCTTTTAATAACTTACGGATTTTCTGCTGTGGTTTGAACATTATGCTCATAAACTGGGTTATATTTTGCCCATTTATTTACTGTTTAAGGTTATATTGAGGCATGCTATCAAACTTTCTACGAGAGGTAAATAGACTGGCTTCCAATGTTGGTAGTTTTTCATTAATGGTATTGGAGTAATGTTACTGCTTTAAGGGGTGTTCTGGTCATTGTAGGACTTCCTTTGTTGTTCATGGTAAATATACATGCTCTGGTCCTGGATATCTAGGATTTCTTTACATAGAGATGATGTAGGATAACTCAGATGTGCCACTGTTTTTGGCTTTGGTTGACTTGAGGCAGATGAACTGAGAATTAGTGGTTTATGTCTTAGAAATTTCCTTAGGAACAATGCGAATCTTGAATATGTAAGGCTATATCTTTAGTCTCGTATTTGGTGCAGTAATGAATTTACAAAGCAGTATAGGAAAAGTAATCTTATACAAAAAGCACAGGATATCAGTGTACTGTTCCTACTACTGTGCTCTGTATGCTTCTTAAGTGTGTGAGTGTGTGTGTTTCTGGTCTTTGAACCAATTTTATTATTTAGAGCTTATGACTTGGTAAAGAATTAATTGTATGGGAATGAAATGTGAGATGGGCAAGCTTCATACAGAAGGAAGGCTTTATTTAATGCCGGGCACCTGGCATCTGGATTTCTAACAACTCCATAATTGGCACAAAAGATTAGGCATTCAGTGACTGAAGTTCAAGGGAATGCTGTTTACATGCTTCAAACTGGCTTTAATGAATGGTAACGGGTATATTTTTCTGAACAGAATGTGTTTTCCTTTTTTTATATAATTTATTTAACTTTATTTTACATTCATTGGTGTGAAGGTATCATATCAGATCCCCTGGAAAAGGAGTTACGGACAGGTGTAAGCTGCCATGTGGGTTCTGGGAATCAAATCTTGGTCCTCTCATGAACAGACAGGGCTCTTAACCACTGAGCCATGTTTCCAGCCCCCGCATTTTGTAACTACCTAGGGTCGGGGGTTAGGGAAATCCACAAATGTCTGGCTCATTAGAATTTTGAGTTTAGTGTTAGGGCCTTGGCTTTGTCTGGGGAGGGAGTATTTTATTCCACATATTTATATATAAAAGAATAGGGTATCACTTCCTGTCTGGCTATTTCCTACTTGCGAACAGAGCATTATCCCAAGTATTTTGTGTTCCTCACAAATGTGCATGAACCTGTGCACACACGTGTATATATATGACTCAAATGAATATTTTGTTTCTCATTTCCGTATATTTTAAGATTTTTTTTGATGTAATGCTAAACAATAGATTGTCTACTTAGTCCAGGAAGCTGTGTATATTAAACAGTGTCAATGTACTGCTAAGTGTTTTTTCTATTTGTTTATAATACCTTTTATCAGAAACGGACATGCCATAGTCTTCTTGTAGGGTTTTCTTTTTTACTTGTGTTGTTGTCTCACTATGTAGTCCAGTATTTTGTGCAGTTTAGGGAAACGGTGTCTGTAATTTTGTTTTCAGTGGATTTATTGAGTGAGACAGAAGCATAATACCAAACATTCTACGCAGAAATGTACAACAGAAGCTCCACAGTGGCGGTGCATACCTTTACTATAGAACTCTAGAAGCAGAGACAGGCAGATCTCCACCCTGGTCTACAGAGGGAGTTCCAGGATAGACAGAGCTGCAGAGAAATCCTCTCTTGAATAAAACAAAAACAAGTAAATAAGAATCCAATGTCAAGCCAGCTGGAGTTCCCAATTGAGAGAGTGCTTGGTAGAGCAATATGTCCTCTTAAATGGGAGTTTCAAGTAAAACATTAATCTAATAGCTTAGATAAAACATTATCAAACCAGGTATTCAAACATTGGAGAAGTTTTAGACTCTCAGTTATGTTGCCAGTCAGGTTTTTGTCCATGGTGAACCTTTTCTTTTCCCCTGAAGACAGTCTTACAGGATTCAATACTAGCTGTTTTTAAAAGGCACGTGTGTTTTCTTCACGGTATGAATGAGAATCAGGCTTTAGACATTGTCTACGACTGTGGGAGCTACTATTCAGCTCAGAGAGATGTCTGTTTTATTCATGACATATTGTCAGCGTCAAACTTTAAGGATAGAGAACTTCTATTTCAAGTTGGTAATCTGAACCCTCAACCAAAATTCTCTGGTTTCCTCACTCCGTCTCTCTCTTCCACCCCACTCCTTCTGACCCCTCTCTCTCTTAGCCATGTTGAGCTAAATATGTTTTTCTATAGTTTACTCATTTATTAGCATTCAAGAATAATAAAATTTTGTATATATACTCTAAATGGGAAAAGATGTACAAAAATGTGACTCAGGCATAAAATGGAGAAAGATTTTCTTTCAAAAGCATGGACATGGACTTTGCAATGTTAGGCTATAACTGTTGTTAAGAGCAGCGCTTTGGATTGATTGTTGTAGAATTTGATTTTCTATTATGAGCCTTTCCATAAAGGAATGCTTGTGATGATTTTGGTGGTAGTTACAAATAGTTAAGGTCAAAAGTTGTGGTAGTTGAGAAAAGGGTTAGCTAGAAGGTTCTTACTAGAAAATTAGAGGAGACAAGCAAGAAAAGTAAACTGAAAAATGTACACCCCCTTCCTCAAACCCCTACTCTTATGGAAATCTCTCTCTCTTGTTCAATAGATGAACTTTCGGTTTGTTTTCAACAGAACGCGTTGAGTTCTTGGAAAGAGCCATATGAGCAGTGTTGATTCCCAGGGAGACAGTGAAATGTTATGTCCTCATCATTCCAGTCCTGCCCGCTCTGCTTTCCCTGGAGCTTTTTCTCCAGGTTTTCATTTTTGTTTTAAGTAACATATGGAGGATTTGGAAAGAATAAATTAGTCTTTTTTATTGGCTCCATTGCTTCACTCAGAGACTTAAAAATGTTTATTGCTTTTCCGTCAAACCACAAATATGTAAAATAATTGAAAATAGCCAGTGTTGACTGGCCTGGCATGTTGTCATATGCATATAATCCCAGCACTGGAGATGCTTACAGAGGAAAATTATACTGATTTTGAGGCCATTCTGGATTTCATAACATGAGCGCTTCTCAAACATACATAATACCCTCAAACATGTTTTCTACTAAAGATGTATACTAATGATCTTTGTGAGTTGTGGAAATAGTAGATGGCCTTTTTATGAAGGCCTATATTAATCATGAATTTGGAGTGCTTCAGGGGCAGATTTCAGAGTGGAATCTCTGAGCTGTTCAGGAAAACAATGCCTCTGGAGTTTAGGCCTTGGAATTAGCTAGCCTGTTTTTCTTAGATTGCTTCCTGTTTTTTCCCAGTAGTTAGGACTGCTTAGAATGTGAGAGGTATTAAACAGTTCAGAAATATGCTAAAAGCTTTGTCAGTTACAGTTACTATGTTGACTGTGAAAAGAGATAATACCACTATATGTTCTGAATTGTCAGGATGTTAGGAGAAAAACTGTTCAGTGATATACTGGTATGAAATCACATTTTTTTCTTCTAGTACATATAGGAAGCTAGATGAATTTTTCATACGTATTCTGATTAGTAATATATTGCTTTTACTGTTTATTTTAAGATAAAACCCGTTGGATTTCATTATGCTTGTATAAAGGCTGTTGTATAACCACAGAAAAGGATGCTTTGGAAATAGTCGCAGCATTTTTGAAACCTAACTCCAACCACTTAGTACATATGTTATTTAATGCCCATTGTCCAACACGCCAAACCTACGTTCCATCATACTGTGTTTAATTTTTAGTGTTTCCATGAAAATATATGTAAGTTATATCATAGGCATTCTAAATAAAAGCTTTAAATGTTAGTTTGGGGACACTCAACGCATGAGAGGAATGAACAGCAGCACACGTTGGTGCTCAGGAGGACTTCAAGGATCCAGCAGCGACCTGGAGTGGTGCTCCTCTGAAGAAATCCTACTCGGATGGATATAATACAACCTGCTAAGTGTTCTAGCACTTACCAGGTTGTATTATCATTGTCCGTGTCTATGGCTCTCATCTATCAGGGAAAGGACGGTGTCGTATTCGTCTTTGTATCACGGTGCCTAATCCGGTGCACATTGTAGGCCTCATTAAATGTTTGTTGAATGAAAAAATGAATCATCAACAGACATTAATTGGGCGCCTGCTTTGTGATCTCCATTGGCTCAGCTTCTTCCCGCCAGTTGCCTACAGTGCCTACAGCGCGCAAGGTCTATTCAACATACTTACTTCTGAAGCCTAATCCTGTCTTGGGATGAGGACTGTTATAGTGAATGTACTTTGCGTTTTCATTACTGTGCTTTATGAAAGCATTCTATAGCCATTTCTTATCTGTGCTGAGGGTATAAAAGGGAGACTAGAAGCCCAAGTGCCTTAAATGTCATATTTGATAATATGTTTCCTATGAAACATTTTGTTTATATGCCTGTGTTTTTGAATTGGCTGCTTATAGATGTTGAATTGCTGATGTTGTTACTATAATTGCTACCAATTACTCCCTAGGTTGGACCACAGTGATCACTGAGTAAGAGCTTCATCCTTGCATTCTGGTGTCTGCTATTATGGTTGGTATTGACTTTTTCATTTTCATCCTTGTCTACATTAATAGGTATGCTTCCACATTTCCTGTCTACACACTCCCAAGCTCATATTTCCTTTTCCTTCTTATATACTTGATCTCTATTATCCCATGCAAAATCTGTTAATGTATGACAAAGAGAATACACCTTAATCAACCTCTTCAGCACCCTTTATTAGTTACTTTTCTAGAACTGTGAACAAAATGTCATGTCCAAATGCAAATTCGAGAAGAAAAGGGTTTATTTTTTTGCTCTCAGCTCCAAAAGCATATATATATGCTTTTGGAGCATATATATATATATATTCCATGGAATATATATATATATTCCATGGCAGGCAGGGAGTCGTGTGGTCCAGCTTGGGGAAGCAGAACGAGTACCCGAAGTAAGGCCCTAATGGTATGCCTCTATGGAGGTTCCATCCCAAAAGGTGTCCCGTAACATTCTCAACTGGTACCGCCACCTGAGTTCAAATCCATGAGCCTATGAGGACAGTGCTTTTTCAAGCCACAACAAAGAGTAAAACCTGCATCTTGTTAGAACATGGTAATTTTATTTGAAAGGACCTCCCTCTTCACTGATGCATGCAGAGCTATTAAGAAAAAAAGACCACTTGGCAATTGTGAAAACTTGAAATTTCAGAGATGGATTGTGAATGGTCCGCTGACACAGTTATGGAGGTGAAGCTGCTGTAAGGGGAACTACAAAGTCTGGATTACAGACAGCAGTTTTAGAAAGGACTCTTAAGGCGCAAATGCTAGAGGGTGCAGTTTATAGGAGAATGTAGGGCATGAATCAACAAACTGGAAGTAAATGCAGTGCTTTTGAGCCTTGTTGCAGAATACCATTTGGTTTCCTTAGTTGCAGAGTGGGCAGTTAACAAGAATAGCACATGGCTTAAGTGGTCCTGGACCAATCTGAGGCCAGGAGTAGACTCTGTCTGTGAAGCCTTAGTATAAACAGTATTTATGTTTTTACTTTGATTTCATTTGGTTTCAAACAAGATCTAGCCATGTATTCCTTGAATATCTGCAAATGCTCCTAACTTGGAGCCCTAACTTGGAGCAATCCTGCTTCTACCTCCCTGTTGCTATGATTAAGGACATGGGCTACTAAACATGGCACAAATTCGTGGCTTAGTTCAGTGGTAGAGCATTTGCCTAGCAGGTAAGGTTCAACTGACAATATGAGAAGGGGTGAGTATAATATTTTACAAGTACATGTGTTCACTTATCAGAACGAGCTGAGTGAAAGTTAGCAACATGTAAGTCTTTTTTGGACACAGGGTTTCGCTCTTTGTCCTTGGCTATCCTGTAACGGGAGCATACTGTCCCACCTATCTCATTTTTCTTTTGAATATAATTTGCTAAGTATAGGATCCATAGCTATTCTTAGATGTTATCAGTATTTTAATAGATTTAACAATCACTTTTCTCATGACTATCTCATTTTTCTTTTGAATATAATTTGCTGAGGATAGGATCCATAGCTATTCTTCGATGTTATCAGTATTTTAACAGATTTAACAATCACTTTTCTCATGACTAGTCCCTCAGAGAAGCAAAGCTGCTTTATATTTACCCTTGTTTTAAGGTAGACGACTAGGTGAAAGGAAAACAACCAGCCCCACCAGAAAAGAAGTGGCTCTTTTCAGATACATACTAACCTTGTTTCCTGGTTTTGTGTGTGTGAACCATTCCTTTCCATATTGCTCCTGTCTTTACACACATAACATAGTAAATGCTTATAGTGTGGTTGACTACTTACATACACCACTAACAGTTAAAAATCCCCAGGTTCTAGAATCAGAAGAAAGTATGTTAAAGACGTGGGGTTTTTTTTTCAGCAACAAAATAAACTTTGCAGAAAAAGATTGGCCAGTGCATTTGAAGGTAGCTGCAGATTCTGTTTATAATTCTTTTTCAGTTCGGTAATGAAAGCTGAATATTACCATAATCACTGCTCACTGCTGAAAGCTTATGTTCGTTACTGTGACACCACCCAGCTGATGTCTTTGACAACCAGAGAAGCGTTACCCAACAGTAAACGACAGTCTCCGATCTCTCCCTTTTGGCTTGGTCATCAGATACTACCTGGAATTTGTTTGGGGACAAAGATTGCGGGAGTCAATATTGTACTTTAGGAGTCTTGCTTAATTCTTCTATCTTGGGGATGGTTGGGATAGGTCATAGGTATGGAAAACATCTGACTTTCAAATGTTTTCCCAATAAATTCACAAGGTAATTTTTAGTCAAGGTTTATGTCTTATCATGAATCTTTCCACCTCTTTCTTACGTGTCTTAACGGAATTTTTGTTCTTTACACCTTCCTTTCTGTTACCCCACCCCAATATGTTTCAGCAATCTCTCTTCCTTTCCCTGTTCAGACATGGATCAGTGAAACCGGCATTGTGAATAAAGAGTTTGAATTTCGGGAGTGGAATCCATGATGCTCTCAGCATGTAATGGCAGGAGTGGCGCACAAAGAGGATATAGAGGAAGGCTGTCCAAAGAACAAATGCTTGACATTTTGGCAGATATTGGACCACTAAGCTCTTATCAATGAAAGGAGACTGTTTGGTTCCCCTAGGGAGAAAGCGATGAAGGTAAAGGGAATGAATGAGATCTCTTTCTTCCGTGGAGCACATAATGCGGCTTCATATCTTTGTCTTGTGTTATTTGAAATGTCACTGCTTCTTGGAGATTTCTGCTTACTCAGTTGGCAAACAACATGGTTTCAGTTGAATCAGATACAGATATACATAAGTATCAAGGACAGGAGATAGCACAAGAAGTGCTAATTAACTGAGTGAAAAAGTAGAATGTGGGGACCCTGTCCTCAGAGCTGCAATAGCCATAGATGTCAGACTGGGATCTAATGCATGATGTGATGGGAGAGTCGTGCTGTAAAGAACTTCTGCTTTGGAGATGGATTATAGAAGAGGTTTAGGGGACAGGAACTCCCAGTTTCACATTACTCTGTGGGTTTGTGGATTCTTCCCACTATCAACTCACTGGGCCACTTGAATTTGGTCTCATGATGCCATTTTATCACTTGCAGGTGTCGCTCATCAGTGGGTCCAGGACCTGAAGGAACAAGAGAAACAATACCCAGTGGACAACAATGTGGCATATTGGGTGAAAACTATTGAAAAATGTCATGTTCTTTGATAAATACTATATAGTCTACATCGGATATGGACTTTACTGGATTTATTTAGACACTGCCATATTACTCTACTTTTGGAGCCTGGTTAATTTTTTTATAGTATGTAACATTTTAATCATTTTCTTGAGAATTAACTTCTACCAAGGAATTCTTTTATTTGAAGACTTCATAAAGGTGCTTTTGAATTATTCACATTACAGTTACACAAATCATAATCCTCCCAGTAGTGAATAAATGTGAATATTTCTTTAAACCATCAGAATATAACCTGTTTATAAGGTTCTAGTCTAGTAACTACACAAGTAATGTGTCTTTCTTCAGATGCTCCTGTCACTTTAGTATCTGCTCTTAGTCACTGGGGATTGTTGGTTTATGGAGAGGAACTGTGTTACCCTGACTGGCCTTCAATTGTACAGTAGAATTACAGGTGGACGCCACCATACCCAGCAATCGGAGTCTACGCAAATGAGTGAATTTTCCTATGGAGGCTGGAGGTTTTCTATGCAGCTGGAATTGCAAGCAGTTATAAACTTCCTGACATGGATGCTGGGAATGCAAATTATGTCCAGTGTAAGAACACTATGCCCTTCTAATCACTAGGTGATCCCTCTGGCACCTTGGGTACAAGTTTTGTGTGATAAGCTAACCATGGGAGCGAGTTCAATTTTTTTTTTTCAGTTTTCATGTAAGGTAATTTTAATAGCTCTCTGAAAATTTTAGCAATTAGGGTTTGGTCTCAATTCCTTCAGGGCATTCGGTACTTGAGAGTTTATTTTTTTTGTCTGAGTACCTCTCTGCTTAAGTGTGCTTTGCTGCCCCTTTTATTGGATGTTCCCTCATCTGTTGAACTTTCAGATTTTTCATTCAAACTTGGCAAAAAAAACTTTTGTAAATTATATTGTTGAGTAATATGTTCTCCCCGCTATTTCTTGTATTTTATATTTTTACCTGTCGTTTAAAGCTGATGTTTAGTTACTAAATTTTTGGAATCATACAGCATTGTTTGGTACACTGTATAAGAACCTTTATAAATAGTTTCACCCAGGGAGTGTATCTTAGATTATATTTGTTTGTTTTGTTTTTTCAAGACCTGGTTGTTCTAGCTGTACCAATTTAAAGTACTTTTTTGGATTAAAGTAGACTCTATTCTATCATTTTTGTGCCCTCTCTTTTCTTTTTAGAACGAAATCCCCGATTCTAATCTGTATTTTGGGAATGTCGGTATAGTTCTTCCTGCGATTTGTGGGCTGTGGTAGTCTTTGGGATACCCTGAGAAAACAGCTGGAACTGTTAAGCAGAGAAACCTTGTCTCACGAAAAAAATTAAGATTACATTGAGTTAACCTTTAGCTTTAAAGTCAAAATCAATAAATAACGGCTGATGGCCCTACAGTCCTTATTGTGTAAGATTTTATTTTGTTTTGTTTTTTAAGACAGGGTTTCTCTCTAACTTTGCAGCCTTTCCTGGCACTCTGCCAGCATGTAAGATTTCTTCTACTTTTCCTGTTTTCTTTTTCTTTCCAGTTCAGTAGATCAATTCACATCTGTTCACCTCCCACCTGGCCATAGCGTGCCAGTGTATGAATTACCTCAAAGCAGTTATTCCCGCTCTCTGGAGCCAGTTGTAATCTATATGATCTGACTCCCTCAAGTAGATTCCATTTGGTGTGACAAAGGCTATTGGAGCTAATTAGACCGCCTCAGCAAGAATTTGACTGTGAGTTCAGGGTCAGCAGTTCCAGCTCAGCCAGAGCTGGTTTTCAGTAAAGCCCCTATCTCAGGAACCAAAACACAAAGCAAAAAAGAAAAAAAAAATCTGTTAATCAGCTCTTTCTTTGACAGACAGCCTCCACAGTGTATATGTAAGCATTTATTCCACGTTACTCTAACTAGGCCGTAGCTGTTGTCTTCCGCTGAAGTGTTGGAATTTGCTGCAGGTTGCATCTGTGCAGCCATTAACTTACGTCTATTCAAGTATCCCAGGCAAGTCTTGAACTGGTCCTTCTGCCTCCACCTTCCTAGTGCTGGGAATACCCCTGTCTCACCAGAACGGGTTTATTCAGTGCTGGAGAGCAGGCCGAGAGCTCCACTGTGCCTAAGGCAGCACTCTACCAACTGAGCTGTATCTCTGGCACCTCATGCTATAGTTTTTAATGTCGTTTTGTCTGCTTGTTTGGAGTTTCATTTCTTACTTTACATTTGTCTTTTGTCTTTGTTGTATTTAATTTTCTCACATAGGGTCTCCTCATAGCTTTGGGTGGCCTAGAACTTGCTATGTAGACTAATTTGGTGTCTAACTACTTAGATATCTGCCTTCTATCTCCCAAGTACTGGAAAATAAAGTCATGCAAGGTTCTGTTTATTTTTCAGGCACGGTCTCCCTGTGTAATCCGTGCTGTTCTGTAATTTACGGTAGGCCTTCTGCCTTAGTCTCCTCAGTGAGTTCTAGAGATCCAGCACAGATTGTCAGTCTAAGAGAGCAAGTGTCTGCCCCCTGAGACAGCATTGGCACTTTTTTTAAATATCTACAATGCTTTGGAAAACTTTCATTTTCTATTATAACTAGTTGTAGTTAAAATTTTTCTAAGCACTGCCACGGCTATTCTATGCATTCTTATGTCTTAAATTTTCATTTTATTCAGTCAAATATTTTTTTAATTTCTCCCATAGGATGCTTTGTAGTGTATTATGCTGTTTATATTCACCCCCTTGGGTTTTGAGCTTCTCTGTGTAGCCATGGCTGTCCTGGAACTCACTCTGTAGACCAGGCTGCTTCAAGGACAGAGAACCACCTGCCCTCTGCTGTGATTTAAAAGCGTGCACCAACAATGCGCCTGGCTTCTGCTATTGATTTTAAATTGAGTTAGATATTGCCAGAGAACAACCTTTTAACTATGTTTTTTATAGTGGTTTCATTTATGATTCAAAAGGTGGTTTTCCTTATTGAATATTTCATATAAGGTGGATATGTCTGTTCACAGGGTATTTTGGTTACTATTCTATGGCTGTGAACAGACACCGTGTCCAAGGTCTTGTTTTCAGAGTTATTATTTCATGATAATCGTGCCAAAAACCATTACAGGCATGGCACTGGAGCAGTAGCGGAGAGCTTGCATCCTGATCTGCATACTGCATGCAGAGAGAGAGAAAAAGAGACTCTGTGTGTGTGTGTGTGTGTGTGTGTGTGTGTGTGTGTGTGTGTGTGTAACAGCATTTGCTGGAAGCAGGGGCCTTGAAAGCAACATTGAAGAGAACTATTGTCTGTTTTCAGTAAAGAAACCCACAAGGCCACTCCGTGTAGAGGGCGTCGGGTGTGGGTGTCGGCCATGGCTGTCTCTCAGAAATTAAGAGAGGAACCGAGTAAAGATGCGAAGATGGGCTAACTAGCAGTTGCCATATCTGTAAGAGTAGAGAAGATAGCAGCCGTGAGAGGGGTTTTGTTGCAGCAGGAGGAGGGCAGGATAGCCGGAACCAGAGTGGTGCTCTGAACTGTTAGAGGTTTCATTGAGGTAACAGAGCTAGATTCCCTCTCCAGAAGTTAGGGCTTTTCCTGGCTAACATTCCTCAGAGACTCACTTTAGTTGTCTGAGGAATGCTAAGTGTTTGCTAGCTCAGGGTCCAGCCTGAGCTGAGTACACATTGCCATCCTTTGGGATTGGGACCTGACATCATTCGCGGTAAATGTTGATAGCAGCATGACAATGACAGCTGTCTGTGATGTTGTGTACTGTTCTAGTCTCGTCTGGGATCAGAATAAAGGATCTTTTTCCCCTGCAATAGGTCATTTTAAAAATTTTAAATCTCTTCAGACCATGCTTAATGTGTTGGTTAATAAGAGCACAGCTCTTAATCCCCTAACTCAGGAGGCAGATGCAGGTGGATCTCTGTGAGTTCAATACCAGCCTGGTCTACAAAGTTAGTTCTAGGACAAACAGGACTGTTACACAGAGAAACCTTGTCTCTAATAACAAAATAAACAAAAAAAATGGCACAGCTCTTTGTGAGCCAGATGAGACACAGATGTAGTTTGATAGGTCAGGCTAATGATTGATTAAATGACCCCATGGGTCAGTTTCTCTTCTTTAATCTTCACCTTCCTAATCCTCTTGGATTAGTATGGAGGTTCTGTGCATCATTGCTAGTGTCTTCCTCTTTTTGGCTTTTTGAGAGCAGGTTTCTTTGCCAGCCAGGGCAATGGTGGCATATAATTTAAATCCCAGCACTCTAGAGGCGGAAGCGGGTGAATCTCTGAGTTTGAGGACAGCCTGGTCTACACAGTGAGTTCCAGGACAGCCAGGGTTATGTAGTCCAGGCTGGCACCTGACAGAGATACTCCTGCCTCTGCCTCCCATGTGCTGGGATTTAAGCTGTATGCCACCAGCCCAGCTTTAGGGTCTTTGTTAGTTCTGGCTGAATTCCAACTGTCTTTCAGATTCTCAGAGCTGTTCCTTAAAGGGTATGTTGTCACCCATAGGGCTGCTTTTGCTCTGGAAATTTCCTTCCTATGCCTAGCAAAGCTGTGGTGGCTGCATTGAGCCTCTCTGCATGGGGCCCTGGTTGGTTCTCACTAGTCTTGTCACCTGTTTGTCAACTCTCCTGGGAGTTCCTGGATATAGAACCCTTAAGATACATGCAAAGCAATGAATTTCTTTCCAAAGCTTGAAACATGGTGGCTGTTCCATTCAACTCGGACTGCCAGCCATTTTCTCTAATATTGGTGTCATAATTGAGAGCTTTTTGCTTAGTTAAATTTAATTTTAAATTTTGAGACTGTGTCTCTGTACACAGTATGACATAGCCTTGACCCTGTAGTCCTAGCCCCTTCCAAATGAGGGTTGGTTTCCTAGATGTGTACTTCTGTATCTGACTTAAAAGTGCTTTCAGGTCTTAGAGATGGTTAAGAGCACTGGCTCTTCTAAAGGACCCGGGTTCAATTCCCAGCACCCACATGGCAACTAACAACTATCTGTAACTGTAATTCCCTGGAATCCAACACCAATGCTCACAAAATAAACATTAAATAATTTTTTAAAGTATTTTTGGACTTTTATCCTAAATTTTTTTGCTTTATCTATTTCTTCCATGAAGGACTGAAGTGAAAATGTTGTTCATTCACATTTCCCAGAAACTATAAAGAGGCTCTCTGCAGTGAAGGGTGTGAAGGCTGAAGCTCAGTCAGCTGGTGTTCCTGTGACTTATTAGTCTAAATAGAAAGGACTGCAGTATTCATAGCAATGAATAGAGAACTTCCCAGTCCAGACCAAGTTACTCCCTTCTGTCTCATGCACCCAGAGTGTATAGCTTGACGTCGGATAATAGAGACCCTCCTGCATCAGGACCCCCAGTACCAGGATTACAGGCATCCCACTAAGCTGAGCTCTAGCTCTGGGTATAGGGAACTGTGCTTTTTAGGAAGGTCTCAAGTGCCCTTTGTACTCTTTATCCATGGGCTTTGGAAAGCCCCAGATGTGCACCTTGGTATATTTGGGGCTGCCTGTGATGAGCTGGTGAAAGCTTTGATGTGCACTTCCTTGTGGAGGCGGCCCCTTTAAGGGAGGAGGGGAAGTTGCTGTGCTGAGTGCTGCAGTCAGCATGGTTGCCAAGCGGGCAGCTGCAGCTCCTGCTTTGACTCTGTTGGCGGCTGCTGTGTCTCCTAGGAGCCGATCGGGCCTGGCTTGCCGGCCTGAAATGTGCTCCTTCCAGCGCGCAGGCGGCAATGGTAGAAGTTTCAGTGCACAGGCCGATGGCCCGCCCCCCCCCCCCCCCCACCCCCCCCCTTTTTTTTTTTTTTTTTTTTTTTTTTTGCCTGGGCAGGGCTTTGGCAAAAGTCTTCATTATGCCCGGTACACCCACATACCACATACCCCACCCCCACCCCTGGCAGGGATTTAGCGAGAGGCTTCATTATCACTGCTACTGGGACTGAAGTTTTAAGCCCTGTCTAGATTTTTTTTTTTTTCGGGTACTGCCAGCACACCTAACTTTTTAAAAGCCCATCTTGCGGTTTCCCAAATCGCATCCACGTAGCATTGTACTCAAAATTATGGATTAGTGCAGCGTTATGAAGTCAGGAATCCCATGCTATGATATCTGGCCGGGTGGAAATGCTGCATTTCCGTCCGCGTGGTGGGGGAGGGACTGTAAACCCAGAAACCCAGAAGAGGAAGCTGGACAGTCAGGAGATGAAGGACTGGGCCTACCTAGGGAGCTGGAGGCCAGCCTGGGTTGCATTAGACAGTGTTGTCAGCAACAAGGAACGGCCACAAAGAAAATGCCGAGTTTTCTTGCCCTGCCTGGCTTATGCAAGGAGTTTTGGAAATGGCGTTTTAAAAGCAAAAGGGATGCTGTGTTGGCACACATTCCCCTTCATCTTTCTCTCAGAGGAGAAACTGAGA